ACCATATTTGTTAATGGTGGAATTGAGCTGTTACAAATGGTATCAGAGCCAAACACCAGACGGTGTGTCAACGAAAATGTTGAGCTCCGAAAGGGGTGGACATTGTGTGGTGTGCCAGCAAGAACGTTGTGCCCTGAAGCGGGGTGGATTGTGAGATCCCATATCGACTATTGGAATGAAACATTCTTTATAAGGGTGTTGAAACTTCTCCACAGCATTCGCGTTTAAAAATCTTGAGAAAGTCCGAAAGGAAAAATTAAAAAAAAGACAATATATACTAGCGGTGGACTTGAGCTGTTACAGTTTTTTATTATGTAATTGAAAACATAGGCGAGATGTTGAACTAATTGTTATGATTTGAAGTAGGGGTGTGATGGGTCAATTCTGCTGGACGACACTATAACATTACAGGGAGAAAAAAAGGCTTCCACTAACATACACTCCCTCAAAGGCTTTAGAATGATGGATAGGATAAAGAACAGCCTTGAATCAGAATGTCCTGGGATTGTTTCTTGTGCTGATATACTCACTATTGCAGCCAGGGATGCAGTGATTCTGGTATTTGTTCTTAAAACCATACATATATCATCCATTGTTCTTAAAAGCTATATTGCTAATGATGGGATTGTTCGTTTTGCAGGTCGGCGGCCCTTACTGGGAGGTCCCTCTTGGAAGAAAGGATTCCACAACTGCAAGCTATGAACTTGCAAACCAAAATATTCCCTCTGCCAATGAGGGCCTTCTGAGCATCATCTCCAAGTTTCTTTATCAGGGCCTCTCCGTAACCGACATGGTAGCTCTATCAGGTATTACTGATGATCTCTTGAGATCGGAGGTTCAAATATCCATATCTTTACATTTTTGAGCTTGTAATGTTTTTCAGGAGCACACACGATTGGAATGGCGAGGTGCAAGAATTTCAGGGAAAGGATTTATGGGGATTTCGAAGCGACATTGGATGCTAACAACCCGATTTCGAAGATGTATATCGAAAAGTTGAGGTCTATATGTCCTCCAATTGGGAAAGATGCAGAGAAGAACATAACAGGAATGGACAATGTGACGCCAGAGGTGTTTGATAACTCCTATTTCCAGATGTTGATGAGGGGAGAAGGGGTTTTGAATTCAGATCAGGAATTGTATTCCAGCCTTCTGGGCATGGAAACCAGGGCGCTGGTGAAGAAATATGCGGTTGACCCACTTGCTTTCTTTCAGCAGTTCTCTGATTCCATGGTGAAGTTGGGAAATATCACCAACTCTGATAGCTTTTTGAGTGGGGAAGTTAGGAAAAATTGCAGGTTTATCAACACATGAGACACACAGAAATTTCAATGTATGCTTTTTAGCTCACGTTTTTATGATTAGTAGATTTTGTCCGTTACATATCGTTGTTAGTCTCACGATTTAAAAAAACGTCGTCTAGGGAGAGTTTTGCACGCCCTTATAAGAAATGTTTTGTTTGTCTCCCCCATCAATGTGGAATCTCACAGTAACGAAATATATTGTTATATTTGAGACGCAATAGACCAGATAATAAATAAGTTTTAAGTAACGGAGACTATCAATAAAATCGTGACAATAAATCATGGTGTTCATATGACTAATCCGCACTACTCAACCCAAATCAACCCAAATCATAAAAGTTGGTTGACATTTTTTTTTTATTGGAAATTCTAGTCCACACGTGTTAAGGATATTTAGTTATAAATTATAGTTTACCATATATATTATATTTGATATTTTATTATATGGCAAATATTAGATGCCTTATTACCATATGATAACTCCCACATCATTTAGGTGTGGTGATTAATCGAACATATCTTACTTTAGATTATTAAGAAGATTAAAAATATTATATTTGATATAATGAAATTTTAATTTTTAATATAAACGAATAAGTAGACTTTTTTAATAATTAAAGAAAATAACACCCTCACAACTCAACAATAAATGAATAAATGGTTGGGTTATGTTGGATTGTAGACTCTATTCGAGTTGATCAATAATGTTGATCCAAAACATTTTGTATATACCCTAATAAAAAAAAAGACTAAATTTTTAAAAAATTAAATATATATTTTAAAAAATTAGATATAATTGAAAGTTTTTATTTCCGTATCAAATTGATTTTTTTTAAATAAAGTTATAATACTTATGCATATTATGAAATTTGATCCCTTGTATTTCAATTTGATATGCTAATTATTCCCTTCTAAAAAATAAAAAAGATTTAAATTTAATTAGTGTTGAATATCAAACCGCCAAAAAAAATCTTCCATCCATATAATCTCCAGATTTAGTATTTTCCATTAAAAAAAATAAAGATTTATGACCGATTTTAATTTCAAATATTTTAAATTTACTAAACTCTCAATTCTTAAGATATTTATTTTAAATTCCAGGAGAAGATAAATTAGAAACTTAACTATTTTTTACTTAATTTTTAGAAGAAAAAAATAAAAATAAAACATTTAGTATGAAAACCACAGTAGGTTTATGAAATATAGTAATTTGTACAAGATAATAATTGTTTTTATTTATTTTCAATTTTTTATTCATTTTAATTATTAAAAAAACAATTAAACTAAATTATAAAAAAAAAAAATATCATGCAATCTTTAATTACTTTATTTTTATTTTTTAATTCTATTGGTTGTGTGTTCCAACGATTGGAGGAGAGAAACAATCAACCGTTTTTACCGATTAATTTCAATAAAGACAAAATAATAATAATAATAATAAAATAAAATAACTAAATAATTAATTTTTAATGCAAATATTTTAAAAATTTTCCACATTTTTAATATTTTTTTTAAACAACTCAAATTGAACACTTTATCCATAATATTTTTCTATTTTGACCCTGATAAGATCAATACAAAAGATTAGAGTTTTTTTTATTAAATATTTTTAAAATTTTTACTAATGGTTAGTAAATAAATAACTATATTATTTTAATTCATATTTACAAAATTTTAACATAAATTCATACACAATTGAATTATTTTAATGTAAGTTCGATTAAAAATAAAAATAAAAGAATGGGAATAAATATTTACAAATATATAAATTAAAATAGTATTTAAACCTGAAGAAAGTCAAAGTTTAGTAAATATATGAAGGTGGATGATGTTTGACTTTCATTATATTGGAATGATATTAAAATCAACGTTTTGAAATTGATGAATTAAAAAAGAAAAAAAAAAGGAAGTGGGGGTATTTTAGTCCATGCTGCAAATATTTTGATTTAATTTCACATTTGAAAATTACATTAAATGTGATTTCAAGAATTCTAGTCAAAAGAAACCAAACAATTTGAAATAAATAAATACTTTAATTTGGAAAAAGAATTAAATTAAAAAAAACATAATGTGGTTATGAGCAGTTGAAAGTATATTCTCTTTCAATATTCCCTTAGAGACACTAATTATTAATTCACTAAAGTAAAGCAATGGTTCTTTGGTTAATTAAAAATTTTATTTGGTAAACAAACAATAAAAATGTTGAATTAAAGGATGGATAATAGTTTTTTTTTTAAAACAAATTATTAACGTAAATCGACCGATAATAATTTTGATTACATGTAAATATCGGTGCTTCAATTAGGACAGGAAAGCAAGTGATTAGTTACTGATGATTTGGATGACTTGTTAAGTAATGATTTCGTACTGGTATTATGTTTTGCCTAACTTGATCGAGTGAAATGATACCAAAAACAAAGTGGTGTCAAGTTGAGTATTAGGTTGTGCACTTGGGATTGAGAGTGGACACCCGTATTTATATTGTTTCATTCACAATAGTGATCGACAGTAAGCCCTAATTGAGATCTTATTTATTCACTCTTTGGGTAGTCGATCAGCTCCTCCTGCTCGACTAGGGCTTCCATTTCTGTTTGCATATGTGCGGGTTGGATAGACTTAGGTCTATTGGCTCATCAGGTTGGGTATCTTATTAACTATAATTTGGATAAAGAGAAGAAGCAAGAAATTTCGAATTTGATTACTATAAGATAGAGTACCTAATGTTTGTCTCTAAATTAGTTATGCAAATGTATATAAGGGAATACATTACCCACACTCGACTCTAGCTATGATTCTGACTCATACCCACCCTTTATCTCAAACTACATGTGTGCATTTATAATCCACGTTAATTCGGGGTTGATATCTATTTGGTCCAAGTTTCAACCTCGAATTTAAGAGATAAAAAATGCATTTTTGTCGATCGTCAACCTAAATAAATATTTACTAATTAGGAATATATTATCGATTTCCCATTGTTTACAACGAGAAGAATTGATATTCGACCCACTTTAAACTGAGACAAATATGACAGACAAAAAGACTAAAATACCCCGAGAAAAGTTGAAAATAAAGAGGAAATGTTTTACATGGATGGGAGTGGTTAGGTAATTTCAGTTTGGGTCCTTCCATTATTTCACCTTTCCATATCAGTCCTTACTCCAAAATTATGTGCCGTGGTCAATGGATAAAGTGTTAGGATTACAGCTTTTAAGTGGCTATGAAGTCAATATTTTTTATTTTGGGTTTTGAAAAATAAAAAAACAAAAAATAAATGAGAGAAAATTTATATAAAAATTTAATTTATTCATATTTCAATTATATCAAATTTGAATATATCTTATCAAAATTAACCGAATTAAAAAAAAAAAAAAACCAAAATTTCGAATACAAAATATCTCAACAAGAACCTCTCAAAACTCCTATTTTCTTGGAACGATAATATATTTTTTATTAAAAAAATCAAATTTAATGAAACGAAAATAAATAAATATATTTTAAAAGGCGGAATGTGGATCCCGATCTGATTGATTTTCTTTTTCTAGATATTTACGAGAATGGATAGCATTAATTAATTGAGAAAAATAAATGGTAAATCTTTTTTTTTTTTTTTTTTTAAATGATTGAATTAAAGTTATCCAAAATATTAAATAATAATAATAATAATAATAAATACCCATCTCCGGTTCTCCCAGTTTTCCTCTCCTCTGAGAGTCCTTTTTTCTTGCTTTTCCTTGAAGAGCGTCTGCAGATTCTCTGGAATTCGCAGTTCCCAAAACTCAAATAAAAGAAGAAACGGGAAAAGGGTATCAAAAAAATCCCACAAATTCGAGCTTCTGCTTCTGTTCTATACCAAGAAACTGGAGCCCGAAACGAAACATTATATAACCGACCTTCCTTCCTTCCAGGATGAAATTTGCTACCAGCCTTATGAACTGCGGCTGTGCTCACTTGTGACCCATTGTGATCACGAAACTCACTCTTAAACCGGTGAGTGCTTTCGAATCAAATGCCGAGAGATGGATATTGGGTTCGCACTCATCTTGCTTTCCTTTTTTTTTTTTTTTACTAAATTCCGGTTTTGTTTTGCTTCGTTGTCGTGATTCATGGATGCTGATTTGTTTTCCAATCGTTTATTGTGTCCTTTACTTGGGTGCATTCTGTCGTAGTCGAATGAGTGGTTGTAAGTTAAAGCAGAGTCATTATGATTGGTTTTGTTCTTGTGTGATTGCGTTTTCTGGGACGTTCGTTTTTTTTTTTTTTTTTTCCTTTTGATTTTTGTTAATCTGCTATATGGGTTGTTCTTATTATGATTGATTTCGACGTATTTTCATCATTGGAGAGGGGAAACTTTGTGGTTTTTGTTTAATTGTCACTCTTGAAAGCGTTTGGTTGGATTTTACTCGATTGCTCTGTTTCGGTTTATTGTGGTTCTGGAGAAGTAGCTGGGTTGTAATGCTTGAACTTAACTTAGAATTATGAAATTCAATGACAACCGAGAAGATAAGTCGAATAAGCTGCCTTCATCATTGTGGATCCTTTCATGCCTTGTATTTAGCAGCTTCATTTATTTCTGGAATGAATTTTGTTTCAATCATTTTTCTGTGGTTTGAAAATGTACTTTGATCAATAATGCTCAAGATTCCCCCTGAAGAACAGATGGAAAGAAGTATTGCCTGTACTTTGATCTATAATTCAGTCATTTTCTGGCGCATAAAGTGTTGTTTGTTCCCTTGATCATTCACAGTTCTATTATCTGGCTGCATTTTTGTGAGGGAAGTAGCACCCTAGCTTAATGGCTCAAGATCATTCTAGTTGTGAATCTCATCAGAAACGAGCTGGTCTATTAAAAGACCAAGTGAGGTTGTTTAAGAGGAAGGATTCTGACCGCTATGAAATAGTTTCAATCCAAGATCCTTTGTCGTTTGAGAAAGGGTTCTTCATAGTTATTCGAGCCAGTCAGCTTCTAGCTCAGAAGAATGATGGAATAATATTGGTTGGTTTAGCTGGTCCTTCTGGGGCTGGAAAAACTGTATTTACAGAAAAGATTATGACCTTTATGCCTAGTATTGCTATCATATCCATGGATGATTACAATGATGCAAGCCGAATTGTTGATGGAAACTTCGATGGTAAGCACACTTAGTTTATCAGTATTTGTGAACTCCCACATCGGTTACATCGGTTGGAGAGGAGAACGAAGCATTCCTTAGAAGGGTGTGGAAACTTCTCCCTAGCAGACAAAACCTTGAGAGAAAGCTCAGAATGGAAAGTCCTAAGAGGACAATATCTGCTAGCGGTGGGCTTAAGCTATCGGCAAGCAATAACTGGCTTCCCTATTCTATTTCAGATCCACGTTTGACTGACTACGACACCTTGCTCCAGAATGTACAAGATTTAAAAGCAGGGAAGCAAGTCCAGGTCCCAATTTATGATTTCAAATCCAGTTCCAGAGTTGGATACAGGTTGGTTAATCTTCTAAGTAATAAACATAGCATACGATAAGTAATAAGATTATTGCCTTTGTAGTTATATCTTATGCGTTGGTTCATGACACAAAATGATATCTCCTTGATAGTATTTGAGACATTCTGTTGTCCTTTGCTGGCATTATAGGACCATTGAGGCTCCCAGCTCAAGGATTGTGATCATTGAAGGAATTTATGCTTTAAGTGAAAGGTTGAGGCCCCTATTGGACCTTAGAGTATCTGTTAGAGGTGGAGTGCACTTCGACCTTGTGAAGAGGGTGTTACGTGACATCCAACGTGCTGGCCAAGAACCAGAAGAAATTATTCATCAAATCTCTGAAACAGTTTGTACTCTCCTGCTGCTAAGCATTTTATTACACCATCTCCAGAGTTATCTAAGTAAACTTCTTTCCCTGCAGGTGTATCCAATGTACAAGGCTTTTATCGAACCAGATCTTGAAACTGCTCATATAAAAATCATCAACAAATTTAATCCCTTCACAGGATTTCAAAGCCCCACATACATTCTGAAGGTTATTATTCATTTGGCCCTTAATGTTTTTTCAAATGCCACTTTTTCTACATTGACACAACCCCTTTTCACTTTGTCTCTGTAGTCAGCGAGAAAGATAAGAGAAGATCAAATTAAGGCTGTGTTATCTGAAGATCATATAGAACATAAAGAGCAGACATATGATATATATCTGTTGCCACCAGGTGAAGATCCAGAGTCTTGTCAATCATATCTAAGGATGCGCAATAAAGAAGGAAAATACAGTCTCATGTTTGAGGTTGTTCATACTTTCTTGTGTTCTTGACATTTTTCTTCTTTAGTTTTCTTTAGATTCCATAGTACATTTATGATTTGGTAATTATTGAACCTTACAGGAATGGGTTACTGATAATCCATTTATCATATCTCCAAGAATAACTTTTGAGGTCAGTGTGCGGCTTCTAGGTGGGCTGATGGCCTTAGGATACACAATAGCAACGATTCTTAAAAGAAGCAGCCATGTATTCTCAGATCAGAGAGTGTGTGTGAAAATCGATTGGCTGGAACAATTAAACCGCCAGAATGTTCAGGTACTTGAACAGTATGAATGGTGGCTTGCCAATGGGCATGTCAAGTACTGAGCTTCTCACTTGTTGGCGAAACAGGTACAGGGAAAAGATCGTCTCGTCGTAAAACACGTAGCGGAGCAGCTGGGATTGGATGGTTCCTACATTCCTCGTACCTATATTGAACAGATTCAACTGGAAAAGCTTGTAAATGAAGTCATGGTAATGAAGTCTTTGTAAGCTCTGATTTATTTGTTTTCAATTCTTTGTCATCATCATGTCATTTGCAGGCTTTGCCTGATGATTTGAAGTCTAAACTCAGTCTTGACGAAGATTTGGTTTCAAGCCCCAAAGAAGCACTCTCTAGAGCCTCTGCTGATAGAGTTTCCTTGAGAAATAGGAATCTCAAAAGGTTAGAGTGTTCAAGTTTTTTATAAGCTCTTTGAGAGGACTCTCTTGCCTAGTCCTATGTCTAATGCGTGAAAACTTGTATTGGGCAGTGGCATATCTCGGTCATATACAACCCAAAGGGAGAAAAAGATGACAGGATATGCTTCCAACCACCAGAGATTTGTTGACAGAAACTCAGAGTCTCCGGCAATGCTTGCAAACCAGGTACATAAATGAACCGGGACTAGAGATACTTGGGTTGTGGAAGATGAGTACTCTTTAACATTACTTTGGTTGCAAACCAGGGAGCCATGACTCAGCTTTCTGAGCAAATTTCATCACTAAATGATCGGATGGATGAGTTCACAACTCGAATTGAGGAGTTGAATTCAAAGTTGAGTTTCAAGAGGAATTCACCCAGCCAACAGAACATGAATCTCCAAGCAGAAACGTGTAATGGCTCTGTGCCAACTTCTTATTTCGTGTCTGGGTTGGGTAATGGTTCCTTGACTGGATCCATTATGCCCAATTCTTCATCTTTCCCCCAGTTGGGCAAGGAATCTCCTTTAATGGATGAGGTAAGTGGCTTGTCATTCTGCTAAGCTATGTCCTGTCCATCACTCATATATATGTTCATGACTTTCCCTGGCTTGTTGTTGTTGTTGTTCATCTCTCTTATCAGATATCAGGAATTGCGAGGGGGCAACGACAAGTTATGCACCAACTAGATTGCCTGAGCAATCTCGTCCGGGAACGCGAAAGCGGGACCGAAAGATCTCGTCAAGTAAGAACAAAGAAGAAAACCATAATGCCTGATCCTGAGCCTCTTACACTTCCTCTCCTGTTGACCATAGCAGTTGGTGGTGTAGGAATTTTCTTGTACAAGGGGCTCTTAAGACGTAACTGATTCCCTCCCTCCCCTATCCCTCAACTCATTCAATAGATTAGAAGCTTTTCATCATTGTCTTCAGCTTCGGCTTCCACAAACTGTGTTGCAGTCATCGCCCTTCGACACCGGAAGGACACAGACGACGAATCAATCTCGATGATTGAGAACAGTATCGTTTAGAGAGATTCTGAAAGCAGCAGAGAAAGTTTGAGCTTTCAAGATCCTCTGAGTGTGTAATAAACTACTTTTCAGTTTGTGGAGATGCCTCATTCATTTCAGTTCAATAACATTTATATCTGCTTGCTTTTTGTTTCAAAGTACAACCATTCTCCTCTGCCACATTCCCACTTTTTTTTTTTTTTCAACGGATTTGGCTATTTCAAAAGACAGTTAGTAGGAACTTTCCACAAAGTAGCCACAATCAAATCATTAGCTGATTCGAAACTAATTCAATATACTGACTAAGGGTGAGTCGGTAGGTGAAAGAGGCTAAGAGATGCTACACAACGAATGAGATTCCACCCAACAATATGTTCATGTTGATTGAGTGGGCCTAATCCATGGCTTTAAAACCAAACTAAACTAGCCAAGTATGAAATTACTTTTGGTTAAATATGAAATTTTAAATAATTATTATAAATTTATTTTGGCCCTTATAACTAAATAACACCAACTTAGTATGAAAATAATTAAATTTTAAAATCTTAATAATTATTTTAAAAATTACCACAATATTAATTAAATTTAAAATAGAATAAAATTTCAATTAAAAAATAAAAAAAAAAAGAGTTGAATTTCCAGTTACAACCTACACCGAACGCGGCGTCCCTTTCACTGAACAGAAACCCCTGCCACTGCCCACTCCAAACTTTTGCGTATGTTTATCATTTTCTTCAATTCTCTGTTTACGCCGTCCTTCCTCCGATCATTTTTGAACTGAGAGCTGCAGGCGACCGCAACGCCGCTTTTCCGCCTCTTCTTCTCTTCTGATCCTTAACTCGCTGGTGGGTTTTATGAATTTTGTAGACCTCGTCAGTTTCCTTGCTCTCCAAAACTGTGTTCTTTGGTCTGAATTCGGAAGTAGTGTGTTTTTTCTTTTTTTCATTTTCCTTTACTGCATGAATGCCCGGGTGGAATAATTGTGTTATTGCAGTTTCTCATCGTGTTCTTGCTTCTATTGCAGATAGACAGCGAAATTTTTAAATGGGTGACATTTTGGGCGTGGATCATTTAAGCGATCTGCCTCAGAGCATTATAGAATGCATTCTCACGAGGTTACCGATTAGAGATGCCATTAGAACCAGTGTTTTATCTAGGAGATGGAGATATAAGTGGAATACCCTTACTCAACTTGTGTTTGATGATGATTGTGTTGCCATGTCCAACGATGGAATTTATGAAGACCTTATATATTTCATCACTCATGTTCTTTTTCTTCATGAAGGTCCAATTCACAAGTTCCATCTTTCTGCTACCTACTTACAGAATACCCCAGATTTAGATCAGTGGATGCTTTTCCTTTCAAGGAAGGGCATCAGGGAATTGATTATTGAATTGGGAGACGGTGAGTGGTTTAGGGTTCATTCTTGTCTTTTTAACTGTAGTAAATTGACCCTATTGGAGCTGTATCGTTGTGAATTGGATCCACCTCCTACCTTTAAGGGATTCTTATGCTTGAAAAGCCTAAAGCTTCATCAAGTTCTGATTGCACCCGAAGACATTGAAAGTCTTATTGCTAATTGTCCACTCCTTGAGACTCTGGCGCTTTCCTACTTCGATAGTCTAGTCCTTAATATCTGTGCTCCCAATCTCAAGTACCTCTATCTTGAAGGCGAGTTTAGAGACATATGTCTCAAAAACACGCCACTCTTGGTTGCAATTTCGGTTGCATTATATATGAACGATGATACTGAGCCCTTTGGTGATAATTCTGATTGCAATTTTGAGAAGTTTTTTGGTGGGGTGCCTTATCTTGAGAAACTTACAGGGCATGTTTATTTCACCAAGGTACGATTGTTCAAATATATTTATTCCTTTGATGATCTGTGCTTCTGTTGCATAGCTTTATTTATAACAGTTGGTTTGAAGAATTAAATGTGACTCTCATACCCCCCTCCCGCTCCCCATAGTATCTGAGTATAGGTAATAGTGCCAGAACTCTACCGGTTTCACATATCTATTTAAGGAGTATTGAACTGCACCAAGTCAGTTTTGAAGATATGAATGAGATACTTGTTGTGCTTCGCTTGATTACCAGCTCTCCGAATTTGGAGGAGCTGCATGTTTCGGTAATTGTTTTTTTTTCTTTCCATTCTTACCGTTTTTCTCTGCGGCTCTGTTCTTGAATCGGTGTGAACGTTTAAGTCATATTTTGATGAAGTTCGGAATGGTGACATCATTTTCTACTTGATTTCAAACAGGGCTCCTCAAACCCTGTGGCTGCTTCAGAAGCACCTGACTTGGACTTTTGGGAGAATGAATGTCCTTCGAACTGTACATTTGGTAAACTTAAAGTTGTGAAAACGACAGATATGTCTGGTGTACCACACGAGATGGAATTTATTAAATATTTGCTTAGGAATTGTCCGGTGCTCGAGACAATGAGTATCAGACCTTGTGTCTATGTTACAGATCGACGGTTGAATATGTTGATTGAACTGTTAAAATTTAGGAGGGCTTCACCTCAAGCAGAAATTTTGTTCATCCAAGAATAGTTGTTCTAGTAATAAAGCCCCTTTTTCATTTTATACCTGCATTAATATATAATTTTCTTCAGTAAATAGATAGCTTTATTGCAGCTTTTATTGATATTACTTGTTGTGAAATCAAGAATGAATGGTATGACCCACTTCTGTTATATGATATGTGACTTTCCTTCTCTTGTCATTCTGTCTTGTCAGCTGCAAGATTCTTTACGAAACATCATTATGAACTCTATATTGAAGCATGTTCAATGATATGCCCTTACTTTCTCACAAGGCTGAGTTGAGTATCCCCTTCGAATATTTTTGGAAACTATCTTATGACATTGTATGTTATAGGCGACAACAGAAAAAAAATCTTTCAAAATACTGAATTAGTAGAGAAACCCGGGAATGGTTTTTCAGTTCTTTTCTTACAGAAGGCAACAATATTTTCAGTTCAAAATTGCTTCTGTTTGTTTGATGAATCTTATTGCCAAACCATGGTCTCCTTTAGAGATTTAATTACCAGAAAATGCAGGAGCAAAACTCAATCCAGTATTTCTATTACGAGCTCGAGAACTCGGACTGTACAATTACGAGTTACCTCCACCAACACAGAAGCCTCAACATGAAGCTGACATATGACAGATTCACTTTGATAATATCTCATTCTGCAGGAAAATACATGCTGGGATTCTTTGTATCGAAGATATAAGAAGAACTGTATAACCATCATCTTGGTCCAGAAAGCTCCATGGCTTGTGCAAGCAAGGAAGAATCATCTGTAAGATCAGAATATCGCCCGGAAGAGGAGAATTCATTGCCTCTGTACCTGTTTGCATCTTCCCTCTGAGAAGCTTCCCATTTCTCTGCAAGTCCATCTCCTTCAAGCATTCTGACCACTTCAGACATCTTAGGTCTGGTGGTTGGAAGGTACTGCGTACATAAGAGAGCTACTTGAACCATTTCTTCAAGCTCGATCCAGTCGTAAGTTTTCCTTAGATTCTTGTCAACTAGTATTTCAAGCTTCTTTTCTTGGTTAATTTTCTTTACCTGCAATATTTTAAAGTTGATATTTGACATCTCTTTCATGTATGGAATACAGCAAGTTTTATTTCAGGTGGCTCACCCAATCAAGCATGGCTCCTTTCTGATTAGCAGCTTTTCCAAATTCAAGAGCTCTCTGTCCAGTGATCAGCTCAAGAAGAAGGATTCCAAATCCAAAGACATCAGTCTTCTCAGAAGATTGGCCAGTGGAGAGATACTCAGGAGCTATATGGCCAACAGTTCCGCGTACAGCAGTTGTCACATGTGAATCTCTGTGATCCAACAGCTTTGCCAGTCCGAAATCTCCCACCACAGCCTCGCAGTAATCATCAAGCAATATATTTGCAGCCTTAACATCCCTATGTATGATCTTAGGGTCACACTGCTCATGAAGATACAGCAACCCTCTTGCTGCACCCAATGCTATTCTTTTCCTCACGCTCCAATCCAGAGCTGGCTTTGCTGTTAATGGGAGAAAAATCAGTAGCCATGGTTAAAACCTTGAACAAAACATGTTGTTTTGTATTGTACCTTTGAGACGGGATGCGACACTGCCGTTGGACATATAGGGGTAAACCAACAGTCTCTCTGAGGTTGTCGTACAGAACCCGTAAAGACGGAGGAGGTTCCGGTGCACAGCTAGGCTGATCATCTCAACTTCAGTCTGGAATTGGATTTCTCCTCTGATAGCATTTCCATCTTTTAGCCTCTTCACAGCTACAACTGTACCATCTTGAAGGTACCCTTTGTACACATACCCAAACCCACCCTTTCCCACCAAGTTTTTACTGCTGAAGTTATTTGTGGCAGCTTGAAGCTCTCTGAACTGGAAAATCCTTAGGTTCCCAAGGCAAACTTCTTCAAATCGTTGATCTGAAACTTTAATGAGCTTTTCTTAATATCAAAATGTCATTTGCAGCAATAAGCTTATGAAATGACAGACCATTAACATCAAAGAAAATCTGCTGGTTGTATCGTTGCCTCCACCAAATGAAGCAGCCTAACCCAATTGTCAGCAGAACAACGCATCCAAGGCTTGAGCCAAAAGCTAAGGCTAATCTGTGGCTCTTGGATCTCCCAGAAGGTGCTGCTTGGACATTGTGAAACACAAAACAACTTATATATAGCAAAGGAAAAAACCATGATTTTCAAGTTTGAAACAGGAAGAGAGCAGGAAGTTCGATTACTCTGAGGCGTATCGTCTGCAAATAAGAGAGGTGGAGCAGTGCCATTGCAGCTATGCTCGGACCCAAGTGAGCAAATGAGCGAATTCCCAGCAAGGCTTTGTAAATTCAACCATAAAATCAATAATCTAAGAACAAAAAAGCTCTATGTATACATTTGTTTAGTTGAACAGTAACTTACTTGTAGGTTTTAGGTAGCAATCTGGGCAATGGGCCACTCAGATTATTAAAAGACAGATCCCTGCAACAATTTAACCCCATGAAAAACGGTACAGTTTTAAAATCTTTGTCAAAAGATAAGTGCTTACAGCAATGCCAGCTGAGTCATGTTGGCCAAAGATGAAGGAATAGCCCCAGAAAGACTGTTATTATTTAGCCTCCTAATCACAAACACAAATAAAAATATATGGATTTTCTGTTTGCATCAACAAAGTTTGTTTCTTGAAGAATCTTACAGATATTGAAGACTCTTAAGATGGGAGAAAGATGTGGGAATTTGTCCATGGAAGGCATTGCTTGAAAGATCAAGAGTGGCAAGGGCAGGTATGTTCCCAAGCTCCATTGGGATTGTTCCTGATATATTGTTGTCCTGTAGAAGCCTGTAAAAACAAAAACTCTACAATGAAGAACAGAGGCTTTTCATGGCGATGAAGAAGATGACTACTCACACCGACTGAAGATTTGTCAAATTTCCGACGCTCGGCGACAGGGTACCCGACAAGTTCTGACTAGGAGCTCCTCTGCAATGAATTGTTTCATTGGAACAATCAGTAAGTGAAGCTTTTGAATATTTGTAGAAATTGTTTTGGAGATTTGTTGTTACAAGGAAATGACGAGTTTGTGTGGAGAACAGGTGATCATGGTCCAGCTACATGGATCCACAGCATTTTCATCCCAATTAAGAACAGAATGAGGGTCTTTCAGAGCAGCTTTGATGGCCATCAGGGCTTGCACTAAAAGGGTAAAAAATTGATGTTTAGATGAATATGAACACATCCAAGACGAGATAAGAACACTTCCATTAACAGTACCTTCATAGTTGACACCTTTTGCAGTAAGCAAAGCATTTACAGAAGAATTCCTTAAGCAAAACAAGAACAAGAAGAACAAAATGAAAAGTTGTTGAAGCATTCTTCAATGGCGTTGATGATGGAAGAACTTGGCTCTGGTTTTATGAAGGAAGCAAGGTAGAGAGGAGCAGGTAGAAGATGATCTGAAGTGCTCTAACTCAACCAACTCTCAACTGATCCCTTTGTTTGGTCAGTTTTTCCCTTACTTTTTATATGTCTTCTGGTAAAATTGGATCAGAACTGAGATGGTTTTTTGGTGGTAAAAAGGGAAGCCAACATGCCGCCCAGTGCCTCTGAAAAGAATATGGAAAAGGTTACCAATTTGTAGATATACTTTTAAACACTAAAATTCCCTTCAATCATGCTTGAGTTTAGAGAGAACAGCGTGTGGGAATTCCCCAAATTTAAAATATTCTTTTACCAAATATTCGTCTTAATTAGCTAACTCATAACGTGCTTATTTGTATTTACACCGTGAACTTCGGGGTTATCAAACATTCTCTCTCACTAATTCTCATTTGGCCACCAAATTTATTCCCCAACTCAGATTGGTTAACGGCTCAACTCTCTATTACTCGAGATTTCTTTATAACTTATAACACTCCTCCCAACAAAAATACACATATATTTCAATATGCTATATTACTTCTCCTAATTCTTCTAAAACGACCTTGTTATACATTATTGACAATGTGTCAACTTTTGAGTTGATTGATGATTTGACAGATAGGAGGAGATCTTGTATTCCCACCTCTGTTACATCATTTCATTTTTAATTATCATCGATTTTCACTTATTTGATCTTCAACAAAATTTTAAATCAAAAGTAAATGGAATATAATTAATTAATCTGTTCAAGCTTCTAGATCATAACCCAAAGGGTTATTTAAGTGTGATTAAAAACATTGGATAAAAAAAAAAAAATAGGGTTTAAAAAAATCTCTCAAATATCAAAAACCCTAATCACAACAACTGGATCCTAATGTCTTGTTAGGGTTGAAGTTGGTAGGCTTTACTTCCACCCACTTCCTGCTTTGCAACAGAAGAGAGTAAGACATGCAACCTAAAGTAAAGCAGTGGATATTAAAAGAATTAAAATAAATAAAAAGCTAATTTCTATTAATTATTGGTTCCTTTTCATGTCAACAATTTCTACAAAACCCTAATCATATTGTCTCTTTAAATATCAATAAATAAATTGGAAAGAGAAAAACAAATTAAACCATAAAAGATTGAGAGTTTGAAAATTTCATGGACAAAATGAAGGCCCAAATATTCGTTGTGTTTCAATGTGGGCTTTGGATGAGGTTTGATGGGCCTTTTTCTAATCAAGCTCGTCATTTACCTAAAATAATTCATCATTAAATGTGGAATTCTTACCACTTTGATGTTCAATTTTACTGTTTTTTAAATTTATTTAACTAATTCTTTATGAACTCGGAGTCGGTTACCCTGGAGGATTCAAGCTTCATTTCGGGGCGGGAGGGAGAGCGAAAACGTCTGGCTCGAACCAGTTGGCGCTCTCTAATATTCTCCTTTGGATCGTTCAATCTCTTCGATTCTCAGTCGGTGAGTTACTTTAACGATCTCATGCTATTTTGAGATTTTTGTTCAAGCTTTTAGCTGGATATATCAAAATTCCTATCGATTACCTTGGTTACTTTCATTGAACTATATCGCTTCATTTTGTGAATTTTTGTTTCCTTATGTATGCATGTCGCTCTAGTAGGAATGTTCTTTAATCTTTAAAACGCCCACTGAATGGATATTAAGTTTTCGCCATCAATACAGAGAAAATTGAAGTGAACAAAAAAACTTGCACCACTAATCTGTTGGTTCATGAGTTTTATTCTTTTAGTTATTGATAGGTTGTCTTGGAGTGGATTGAGGTGCTGAAACCGTGAAAGAAATGGGCTATATCGGGGCACATGGCGTGGCGGCTCTACGAAGATACAAGTACATTGGTGAGGATCACTCTATTGTGGCGAAATATGTCTTGCAACCCTTCTGGAGCCGTTTCGTGAATTTCTTTCCTCTTTGGATGCCGTATGTGTTCTTATCTTTTAGGTCATATGAGTTTGCGAATTTATTTAAGTTTACGTGATTTCCTTCACGAACTGAAGTTAGTTGCTAGCTTTAGAAAAATATTCAACATAAACATCCAGGCTCTAACGTTTCTCATTTAGTTTATTCTGGATCTTATTTAGCTTTAGATAAGCCTTTAGCGTTTAAATTGTTTTTTCTTGTTATATTAATGATTTTGCTCATGAATTTTGGCAAAATTTTCCACCGGATAACGCTGACTTCTTCTCTCTGTTTGTATCTGAGGACCTCTTCAGCCCAAACATGGTGAATTGATCTTACATCTAGTACTGACTTGTCATTTCTACCTCCCATTTATTGGAATTGCTTCTTATATGTACTATTTTATGCCAGATAACTTTTGTTGGATTCATTTTTCTGGTCACATCTGCACTGCTTGGCTATGTGAGTTTCAATCAATCTGACCATATATGCTTCTTAGTTGAACTTCTTTGTTCAAAAAAATTCCAAAATTCAAATGTGGATTCTGGAACTTTATTTTCTGATTTATTTTATGCCAGAAGCTTCGGATGAATACCAATATTAAAAGTTTCTCACTGTTTCACGTATTTTCTATTTTTTGTTTAAGGTATATTCGCCTCATCTAGATTCAGCTCCACCAAGATGGGTTCATTTTGCCCATGGGTTACTCCTTTTCTTATATCAGGTTCGATTGGTTCTTCTTCTTTCTCCATAACAGTTCTCCTGTGCTTTGCTCTAATATATAAACTTTTCAACTTTAATTTCTCACTTACGTGCTAGACTTTTGATGCTGTTGATGGAAAACAAGCAAGAAGAACAAATTCATCAAGTCCATTGGGGGAACTCTTTGACCATGGTGACCTGCCTTTTCATATCATTTTTTTTCTTTTTTCTTGATTGATATATTGACAGATGATGTAATCTCTTCTTTCCATATATCTCTTCTCAGGATGTGATGCACTTGCATGTGCGGTTGGTACCTTCTTCCTTAGTTTTCAACTCATAATTTTGAAGTACCTAAATGCCATTTTTCTGAAAGTTCATGTTTTCTTTTCAGTTTGAATCTTTAGCTTTTGGAAGCACTGCCATGTGTGGGAGGAATACTTTTTGGTTATGGGTTATTGCAGCCGTTCCTTTTTATGGTGCTACATGGGAACAGTAACTATTCGTACCTTTTTTACCCTTACAGACCCTATGGACTACGAAGAATAAATTTCTGGAAATTAGATGAAATTTGATATGGGCTTGTTAGTTATTTGTTGAATGCTAGGAAGTCCAGCACAGATTTGCTGACCGTTAACTTCTTTTTTCTTTTGATCATTCGGTTTATTCTACCCCTTTCTATGCAGTTATTTCACAAATACTCTAATTCTTCCTACTATAAATGGACCCACAGAGGGTCTTATGCTGCTCTATCTATCTCACTTTTTTACTGCATTTGTTGGTAAATTCCCACGTCTCTTTCGATTCTCCACTTTGCAAAGGATTAGCATCCTTGATCCCTGTGAGAAGCAATTATGATTTGGTTTCTTACCTTTCCAGGTGCTGAATGGTGGACTCGTCCTATTGGAAAATTCTTGCCATTTTTAAGCTGGGTTCCGTTGCTTCCTGGTAACTCTATGGTTAATGTCATCATCATTTGCCTTGCCCATATTCTGTTAGATTAGTGCACACCGAATCTGCTCTTAAATATATGCGCTTTCAAGCAACATATATCTAAATGTTTTGGTACTCTACTGTTCTTTTTTTATTTCCATAGCCACCTACTTGCCAACAGTTATGTAAACATTGTCCAAGACTAATGTCATTTGGATAGTTTTAATTGAGCTTTTAAATTTGAACATATTTTAAAAACTTTAAAGACGTCTTGGGATCAAAGTATGATTGTTTTTATTGATACCTTAATGAATTTGATTGATTTGCTTGACCCGGAGTGTCTGCCCTGCTGGATTACTGCCGATGTTTTCATTCCCTTTTAGTTAATTGTGGCCGAAGCCTAATATTTATTCTTTTTAATGTCAGATGTTGCGATGAGTAGCGCTGTGATGTTACTAATGACAGCTTTTGGTGTTATTCCCACGGTTGCATTTAAGTAAGCACCCAATCTATTAAATGCTAGATAATATATCTGGACAGATGCTATAGTGGGCTTGTAGATATCAGAGCTAAAATTTACGTGAAGCATAAGCCCACATACAGCTAATAATTATTGGTGAAATAAAGTTAAGATTTAATGTACAATATGTTGTGTTTTTGTGCAGTGTGTCCAATGTCTATAAGGTTGTTCGGGCGAGAAAAGGAAGCATGTTACTGGCTTTAGCAATGGTAATAGCTCAAATTGGGCAATGCGGCAACTCTATTTTTCCCAGTTTCTTCCTTACTATATATTCTGCCAGTTTCTTGGTTATTTGGTAAACCAACTCTGTAATTCTTTTCTTGTCAGTTGTGCCCATTTGCTGTACTCCTTGGTGGAGTCCTGGCATGGTACGATCTGGAGATATTGGACATCAAACTTTTTCTTCCTATATGTATCTTTTATTCTTTCGATGATGACCTTCATTCTCTGTAGGGATTACTTATCTCCTTCAGACCTCATAAAAAACTATCCACATTTGGTTGTAACCGGAAGCGGCCTTGCCTTTGGATTCTTAGTGGTAAGATATTCTTGTTGGGCGTGAATATTTAGATAATAGGATTTCAGCCACCTAGCTGTTTTTCTAATCGTGAATTTTAAATCATATAAATTCTGTTTTAACTCAATTTAAAGAGCATATTAAACAAAAGAATCAGAAAATGGTTTCCATCAAGTTTATTAGACGTTCTTTTTTCTTTAGTTATGTATCAACTTTTCTCTGCGTTTCCTAATTATTGGTGTATTCTTAACCTCTGATGCTAATGGCCTGTGGATAAAAACCTTCTTTTGCAGGGAAGAATGATTCTTGCTCATTTGTGCGATGAACCTAAGGGCTTGAAAACTGGAATGTGCATGGTATTCTACACTAACACACTTATATGTTAGGAATTGCTTGTAGTTGAACCTTTATATATAGTTCCTAGCTGGTGTTTATTACTGTGTTACTTTGTCTTTGTGCTCATTTTCCCCATGAGGTTGTCATTTTCCCCATTGTAGTATAAGATCTGATATAAGGACTTTTCATTCATACTTTGCAGTCACTCTTCTATCTCCCATTTGCGATTGCGAATGCACTGACCGCAAGACTTGGTGGAGGGTATTTCTATCATCTTATTTCAATTAATTAATGGAAATGACATCCTAGGTATGGATATTGGACCTCTTTCAACTGATGAACCATATGTATAAACTGTTTCAGGGTTCCTTTGTTTGGTGAGAGATTGGTTCTGCTTGGTTACTTCATCTACTCAGGTTCATCAATTTTCTTGATAACAAAAATGTGATATCATTTGTTCCTCAGTCGTTTGTGTTGCTTTTTCATGTTGTCTCCAATGATTACAAGTTAGCAAGCTCCGTTCAGGAAATCATGTTTTCCTGAAGTTCAATGCTGCTGTTTAATTTCTCTAGGCTGTGAGAATATTTTGATGTTTTGGTGCTGCTACACTTTTTCATATGTATCTTACTTTCTTCGCATTCAGGTGCTCTCTATTTGCACTTTGCCACCTCAGTTATTGAAGAAATGAGAAGTTCTTTGGGAATCCACTGCTTCAGGTGAGAGAGAAAACCATGCCACATGCTATAAATTTCTATCAGCTACCAAATTGGAAAAATATTAGGATTCTCTCATTTATTGCCTGGTTCAAACAAGAATCAACGTATTCATTCAGAACTTTTCTTGAATACCAGGATAATTAAGAAAGAAGGTTGAAATCTGCTGGTTTTTCCGTATTGGTATGCCCTTCCATCCCTTGCTGACTTTGTTAAGAACTAACGTATTCATAAAACTAATCACATAATGTTCTTGACAATTTTGAACCATGACAGAGTATCGGCTTCAATACCAGGATAATTAAGAAAGAAGGTTGAAATCTGCTGGTTTTTCCGTATTGGTATGCCCTTCCATCCCTTGCTGACTTTGTTAAGAACTAACGTATTCATAAAACTAATCACATAATGTTCTTGACAATTTTGAACCATGACAGAGTATCGGCTTCAATATGAAGGCAACGTGTATTTAGCTATTTCAGAACCTCGGCTATCTTCGTGTAGATTGTACAACGTAGCTAAATCTGAGTAAGTTATCCATCAACAATATCCCTCTTTGTAGATAGTGCGTGGAATCCTAGCGCAGAATTTCTGCATATCGTACTGGATGTGTAAAGTTTCAGAAATCATCAGAAGTTTTGAGTTTTCTTCTTGTAAACATATTAAGCAGCCAAAGTATGTTTTATATCTACATCTGTGCTTATTATTGTGTATGATCTGAAACGTCCAAATCTAATCACTAAATTCTGATTAAATGATGAAAATGTGATTCAGCCATCTGATCTATGATCACAGAGAAATGGGGAAACATCCAATGGAAACAGAGCACGTCAGACAGCAAAGGTATATTTCTTAGAGCATGTAATGTAAGCTGGGGTAGGTTGGTTTTTGATTTAATCATGAGCCCATTCAAATTAAATGGAAAGTAAGACATAATCTTTGTTGTTTTATCAAGATAGGATATGCTCATAATCATGCATAAATATTGAAAGTGACAATCCCATTAAGTCCTTGGTTAAAGCTTATGAGTTACATAAACAATAGCAAAATTATTAATTAAGGGAAGTCCGTAGGGACATCATCATTACCAAATGCCAACTATATTACAACTTAACTGGGACTAAGCCTTTTTTTTTTTTTCTTTTTTCAATATTAAACTAATGTTTTTGTCAATAATTTAAAATGCTCGCGCGTGTATGGAGCGTGCGACTTTTACTATTATGATCTATACCTTCTACCTTTTTCCCTGCTCTAAAGTACCTACCTCGGAGTATGGTGTATGATGCCAGTTTCCAATAATGCATGATATAATATATGTATGTGGCAAGAAAAATATTTGAGGTCGGTCCCACTTATTTATACCTTTGTGGACAAATTATTAATTATTATTTTTTATAACATGTACATGAGAGATGTTTTGAAATCCATTTGTGGGGCTGATATTCTCTTCATTAATTCTTTTTCCTTGGTTTTTTGTATTTTTCAATTTTGAAAGCTTTTGCATTATGTCAAGGGCTTTACTTGACTTTGTATGTGGTGTTTGAGATCCCATTCGTTCATGGTTTCAAATATGACGTTTTAATTTTTGACTTTTACACAAGAAAGTACCTTTTCTTTTTCTAGCATTTCTTTAAATAAATTGCTGATTTGCAAGTCTGATGAGATATTTAACTTATAGTCAGATGAACCAAGGTTTATGAATTTCCGGTTGATAAAGTTTCGACTCTATATTATGTTTAGGTGGCGCAAAGGAATATGGATTATAAATTTGTGTATCATAAATTTGTATTGCTTATGTATTAGCATATTCATATCCTAATCTATAAACTTCTATGTGTGTGTGTGAAACTTTACATTGGTTGAATATGTGAACGAAACATTATTTATAAAAGTGTGTAAATCTTTCCCTAGCAAATACATTTCAAAATCCCCAAGGGGAAGTCCAAAAAGAAAAGCCCAAAAAGTACAAAATTTTTTAGCGGTGAGTTTGGGCATTACAAATGGTATAAGAGCTAGACATCATGCGATGTGTCAGCGAGGAGGCTGAGCCTCGAAGAGATGTGGACACGAGGTTGTGTGCCAACAAGGATGTTAGACTCTAAAGTAGGGTGAATTATGAGATATCACATCAGTTGGGTAAGGAAATCAAATTTTTTTTTTATATTGGTGTAGAAACCTTAAAGAGAATCTCAAAAGAAAAAGTACAAAGAAGATAATATGTAGACGTAGTTTTTGATTGTATCTAGTCTGAGTATCTGGTTTGAGGGTAACGGCAGGGAGACTATATAATGTGATCATGCATGGCATGTGAAGGAATGGAGGTGGACCCGCATTCGATTCGGGACGCCCAACTTGTTCACGACACGTCAAATGTCATATCCAGTACTCGCCCCCGGTTGGAAATTGGAGAGCCCTCGGGTGTGATCACCACCGTTGGCTTGAATCCTTCTCTAGTAGTACGATGGGCGGAGGAGGGGGGATGGATTTGATACACGTGGCGGAATCTAGTGGGGATGACAACGTATGGGTCATGTCTCAAAGAGTAATGATTATGTGTAAGAAAAGATAGTAGACAGCTGAGGTTGCATGCCTCCTCCTCCTCGTAGGCCTCATCTCCTCTATGCATTTTCCTTTGGTTTTGATCTTAATTCTTATGATTGATTAAAGTTTAATGCAATGCTCATATTATCAAATCTGTTCCTATCTCTATTCCATACATATTTGGTTATGAACTTGGTGAGAAATATCATATAAATTCAGAGCTTTCGAACATGATATGACATTTTTTTTTCTTAATTTATCGTGACAATTCGGTACAATATTATCAAAAGATTGATGAGATGGGTTTTTAGATGTAACTTTAAATACAAAAGTAAGAATTTTATTTCTTGAAATTAGCTATACCATATAGTTACTTGTTTTCTTCTATTCATTCAATTTTTGTGGGCCGAATATTAATTGTAAAAATAAATATAAGAGAAATTTTGCGGATTGGGACAGGTGAAACTTATCCTCTTCTGACATTATTGTAATAAAACACTCCCAACAGATAGCATAATAAAACCTTAAAAACGTCTCTCTGATTTCATTAATTCCACTTCCACTCCCACTTCCACTTCCACTTCCACTTGGCTTTTAATTTTTTCACGTGGAAGGTTATCAGACACGCAAACTTTGATGGCGATGGAGGAGGGAGCAGGGCGGCAGCAACGAGAGGGAGACTGGATGCACGCCCGCCCGCCCCAGCTCCACTGATTGATGGATCTTGGCCGTATGATTTGAAGACTTTGTTCCCACTGAGACTCGGGCGCAGGATGAAGGAGTTGACCCTGCAGCAGAGTAGCAGAGCCCAGAAGCGCTAGCAACAGCGAACCAGCCTTCTTATTATGGAGATTGTTCAATTTGAAGAAGGTATTCATTCATTCACTTCCCCTGCAGGAAAGCAATAATGGGCTGCGCAGAATAGCGCCTCCTTTTAGTCACTCTGCTTTGTGTTTGTTTCCTTCTTCTGCTCCTTCACTGTCTTCTTCCTACAAAACGTGATTTTTACGTCTCTCTCTCTCTCTCTCTCTCTCTCTACAAAGTTTTAATTCTTTTAAGAATCCTTCCCTCTTTTGCATTCCTTGTGCTACCAAAGTCAAAACTTTTTCAACCTTTGTCTTTCTTCTTTTCGCCCTTTCCCCTTTTCAGCTGTGAAGCATTCTGACCAAGCTCCTTTGTTTCTTCCCATGAATCCGAGTTGATTCACCTCAGTTTTTTTTTCTTGTTCTTATCTCAGTGTCATCTATCAGCCCGTCAAGGAAGCAGTGGCCATGAGGGAGAGAGGCAAAGCTCTGGCGGTTTACAGCAACGATATGGACTTCTATTCCTCTGCTTCTGAGTTTCCCTGTAAGAAACACCCTTCTTCTTCCTCTGTTGGTATCTGTGCTGATTGTTTGAAAGATCGGTTGATCAGGCTTGTTTGTTCTGACTGTGGGGAGCAGAGGCTCTCCTCCTGCTCCTGCTCTGAGATCTCGTCGAATCGAAATTCCTGTACTGTGGAAGTGGGAAGTGTTGGGAGAGTTTCGTTTTTGATTGAGAATGAGAGAAATGGCGTTTCGTTGCTGGGTCCGATGAAGCCCAAGATGGAGAAAAGGGAGGAGATCGTGCTTCTGGAGAGAAGCAGTAGTAGCTGTGTGGAGAGTAAGAAGAGTGGGTTTTGGAGGATCGGGAATTTTTTCAGGAAAAAGAGGGAGAAGGAATGTGAGAGATCAAGCGTCTGCGGGTTTGATGAAAAGAGCGATATTTGTATGGTTGATCACATGGGTGTCTCAAGATCGAGATCTCTCTGCAGTTTTCGTGGTGGCGGGTTTTTTGGGTCGGAGGACGGCGGAGACATGGTGGTTTCTGGTGGCCGGAGCTCGATTTCCGGTGCAAGAACATCGAGTGTCAATGGAGGACTCGTTTGTGATTCCGCCAGAAGAAGTGGATTCAGCGAAACAGAGCCAAGAAAAAGCGGTTTCGAGAGCGATCACAGAGATTGTGGAAATTATGAAAGCGATCACAATGGGTTCGGTTTAGCTAGTAGACGTGTATTTTCTTTAAAAGAAAGCGATTTTAACGGGATGGGTGAATCTGGGTTCATAGATTTCAAGTTGGATTTCACATCAGAAACAAAGCCAGACATCTCTGTTCCCAAAATGGGTCTGGGTCTGGGTTTGGGACCTTTCTCAAACCCCAACCCTGCATTTGGGAGCTCGAGAGCTTTCGACATGGCGCTTTACAGTGGCTCCACCGGCCAAGGGATAATCGGCAGCGGCGGAGGTTCCTGTAGAATAACAGTCAGTGACAGAGGGATAAAGAAGGGGAGGAAAAGCTTGAAATCATGGAAATGGATATTCAAGCATCCGCCAAACTGGGCAAATGCTGCAACATCGAGGAAGAAAGAAGAAGAATTAATGTCTAAAACTTGAATTCAACAAGAACATATTAGCAAGTGTCCTTTTTTTCCCTTCGTTTTATGTAGGGTTTAGTACGAATATCGATCTGTATTTCTGTCATCTTTCCAAATATAGTTGGTAATTGTTCTGTGAACTTCAAAGCCACTCGTGTAGTCTGCTCAAAATCTCTTTATTTGTTCTTGGAGTATGTGCCTGTCTACTGGCCAGTGCCATTTGGGGCACAAACGGGCTGTTTGGTTTAGACATTGCGTAGACAAAGACAAGGAATGGTAAGCCAGAATGTCTCCTCAGTGACAGTTCTTTATAAAAATGTGAGATTATCATTTTCTTTTTATAAAGTTTTAATTTTTTTTAATTAAATAATCATGTTACTTGCAGTTGCACTGGCAAAAGCACCTTTGAAAAATATATTATCAAATAAATATTTTTAATTCAAATTTAATATATTTTTTTAAAAACTTGTAAGAGTATAAAATGTTATTTTTAACAATTGTTAAAAAAAAATCTATATAATAAATATAAATACATTACCACATATATATACTTCAAAATTAAAATGGAGTTAATTAAGATGCCCCATAATTAACAAAGTCTCAATTTCAAACCATGTGGTTTTATTTATTTATTCATTTACTTTCCATATTTGACTGACATTTTCAAGGCAAAATATTATATAATTATCCACTTCCCCAACTTTATAGATATTTTAAAATCTTGAAATTTGACTTGTTTTCATTTAAAAATGATTTAACGAATAAGTGATTAAAACTATAATCAAAATGACATTTTCAAATAATAATAAATAAAAAAACAAATAATTAACTAATAGTAAAAAGAAAAAGAAGGAACCATCCGACGGTCGGAGCTCTCTATAAATAATCACTAAAATCGAAGCATCAGAAACAAAGAAACGAGAAATCAGAGGTTATCATGTACGTAACAAGGCCGCTTTCACTGTACAGAAACTCGCCGTCGGCGTTGTCGTTGCCGCCGCCGGAGGGTCCGAGTTCGGGGATTTTGGTGATCAAAGACGAAGCTGCAGAATCCAAATGGCTATTCGGAATGCTCAAGGATGAAACGGTGAGCGTCCCTCCTTTCCCTCAGAACAAGAAGCTGTGGCTTTCAAATACGATGGTCGTGGGTACCAACACCTTCGTTGAGTACATATACGCCCTGTTCATTCCTGTTCTTGATCAGCCCCCGTCTTCTAACCAATACTATATCATCAAATCCCAAGGAAGTGAAAAAGGGTATCTGTCTCCACCTCTGTTTTCTTAATTTGAGCATTGTTCTTCCCAATTTCCGCCCACCAATTTGGATTTTTTTTTTTAAGTAGATTATAGAGTCATTTCTGAAGCCTATGGAGGACACCTTCGAACAGCCTCTCCGTTATTCGAGACTTCACTCTATTTCTCAAATAAAGTATATCATTTGCTGTCAATTTTTTTTTTTTTTTTGACATAGCTAAGTTAAGGGTATGACTATATTATCATGTTACTTTTTACTGAAATTCATGTGCATACTTGCTAGCATATGCAAGTTCAAAGGATGAAGGGCGGAGCCGATTTCATGTTTTTCTTGGTGGTGTTACTGAAATTTATGTGCATACAGGCTAGCATATGTAAGTTCAAAGGATGAAGTGCGGAGCCGATTGCTCGGCGTTGCTGATGCACCGCTACAAAAGTTCGACCCAACAAACACTTACCAACAATTCGAAATCAGTAACGACACATTCTGTGGGAAACCCAATGGTTTTGTGTTCAATTCCGTGGCTTCAGACGGAATTACTCCATATTCCATGACACGCAAGGGCTGGAGAGCTTACACCAAAACTCTCGACACTTTCCAACCCACCGCCGAAGCGCTCGGCCTTGACGCCGCACTGCGTGCATGCCTCCCTCAGCTCACCTTCTCGCTGCCCTGCAGATCATCCACCCCTGTTGTTGTGGGGAAGTGGTACTGCCCTTTCATTTTCGTTCGAGAATTGGGGGTTGATTATCAGATCAACAACTCTCCCTATTACGAAATGACCCTCGAACAGAGCTGGGAGGATATTTTTTGGTGTGGGAATTACAGGAATGCAGGGAGAGGGGTGGACGTGGATGTTTCTGTTAAGAAGGAAGTGGTGTCGGTTGAAGGGAAGGCGGTGGGTGGTGTGAGTGTCAGCGACGGCGTTGCGTGGTTGGTTCCGACGAGGGTGGGGCTGAGCTTGGCGGTTGTGGGGAGGATGAGATGGGAGGAGCAGAGAGGTGGGTTTGAATGGGTTGGAGAAGGAGGAGAGAAGGAAGTGAAGGTGAAGAGAAGGGAGGAGTTTGAAGGAGTGGGTATGTGGAAGAGATTTGGATGTTATGTGTTGGTGGAGAGGTTTGTGCTTAAGAGAAGGGATGGGAGTTTGGTTCTTACTTGGGAATTTAGGCACACCCATCAAATTAGAACCAAATGGGAGTGAAAAAAAAGACCACGTTTTTCACTTCGATTCGATCCGCCCGCACCTATTTGAATGTAAATCATGCCATACGTTTTTTGTTGTGATTGTATTTTGAGTGTTAGTAAATGTTCAGCCTTTGACATATGTATGATATACTATACTAGTGAGACGACGGAGAGTGTTAATTAAATTACCCTTTCACTATCCACGAAAATACACTTATAAACAACCGTACTAGCTTGATTCTATTCAAGATGGTTATAATGGCTCAATGGACAACAATAATAAAATTAATCAGAGTGACTATAGTTAATTATAGTTAATTAGTAATCATTTTATTATTAATAATTTAAGAATTATCTCATGTCATTTTTGTAAGAAGAACTTATCCTTGAGTCCAAGTTTGAGCACAACAACTACGGAATGTCCAAATTTGCAAGAATGACTATGTAGGTTAGGGGCACTATTCTCACTTTGAGTAATGCTTTCAGTGCGTATGTTTACGTAAAAGTTGCTATTTGATCGTAGATCGAGTTCTTGGTGCTCATTCTCAAGTATGCTGCTTAGATGGACTCGATAGATTAAAGGTGGTAGGTCTGGGGCTATTCTTGCTTTGAGTTATGCTCCCACTGCGTATGCTTATGTAGGAGTTGCTATTCGACCGTAGATCAGATTATTGGTGCCCATTATCGATTATACTGTCTAGATAGACTTAGTAGATGAAAGGTAGTAGGTTAGAGGCGCTATTCTTGCTTTTGAGTTCACGTAGGAGTACGTGCTCATTTTCGATTATACTGCCTAGACGTACTGAGTGGAAGTGGGATAAAAATCAAAACTTTCTTCTCGCCTTTGTGACAAAAGGGTTTCAGAACAATATTCATGAAAACCCCTCACAAAAATCCAGCACAAGAGACAGGACAAAAGGGTTTTAAAGCAAAAATCAGAGTATTATACGGGGGAGAATTGCAAAACAAAGGGGTTTTAGAGCAAGAACCCTAAGAATTAGAAGGGGGAAATTGCAAAATTGGTAAAACTCCATTTCCTTTTTTGTTGCCCCGAACCATCATACGCGCGTTTTTTGCAGCCCACAATTGGAAGCAGGCAAGCGGGTAAACGCTGCGGCAGTCTCCAAGCCGACCAGAGTGAACTCCGAAACGGCGGAACAAACTGCGAACGCTTTGCTCGGCGCTCGAGGATGGCGAATGTGATTGATCAGGATCAACAGTGGCTTATCAATGCCTTGTCGGCCACCCTCGACCCCAAACACGAGGTTCGCTCATTTGCTGAAGCCTCGCTAAATCAAGCATCTCTTCAACCAGGTTCTTGCTTTCGCTATAATTCTCAGCTCACTGTTCTTCTTATCGACTTTCGTTTGTTCTCTTGTACTATCGGGTATCTTCCTGAATGGGATCATTTTTCCATATTATCCAAACAGTAGATGAATCACATTTCCGCCTCGTTGGCGTGGCTCTATAATTGTGTTAGGCAGAATTGTGTATCATATTATGTATACGTTTTGAAACAGATTAAGTTTTGTTTGGTTCATTTTATCTTCTCCATCCGATCAACTTATTCTACTACATGGACTTAATTATGATTCTTTGCTCATCTTTAAGGTTTTGGAGTTGCATTATCCAAAGTTGCGGCCAACAGGGAGCTTCCTGTAGGATTGCGCCAGATATCCTTTGTTGTCACTGCCATTAAAATTCTTCGTTTTTCGGTGTTTTTTGCCTCTCGTTTCCATTTTTGTGCTCCAAGGAAACATAAGGGAAATTTTTGTACTCATCTTAACGGTTTTGGGATTGCAATATTCCACGATTTTTGCGGACTTTAACGCAATTACCTAGCTGCAGTCCTGTTAAAGCAGTTCATCAAGAAACACTGGCAGGAGGGTGATGAATTATTTGAGCATCCTACCGTTTCTAATGATGAGAAGGTATCTATTTTACACCATAAGCTGTCATTTATAGTTTTCTCACGTCTTATTTTATCTTTTGTCTGGTCACATCCAATGTCACTACTTGGATACATCCTTTCAATATTAAAATTCTACATTTCTAATTCACTGTTTTGATTTTCAGGCAGCCATTCGTCAGCTTCTTTTATTAACGTTGGATGATTCCCATAGAAAAATCTGTACAGCAATTAGTATGGCTGTGGCATCAATTGCAATATATGATTGGCCAGAGGAATGGCCCGAGCTATTGCCTTGCCTCTTGAATTTGATGAATAATCGAATAAACGTGAATGGTGGTATGACGTTATATATATGATGTTTATTTTCCACTGTAGTCTTTTTTTATCCTTTTCTTTTGGATTATATTTATCTACTTTTTTTTATTGATTTAATTGAGCTCTCTGAGCAATATTTTTATGTTTTGAGATGACAATTATAAATAATACTTGAACTTGCTCAACACAAATGATCCAACAGTCGGACTATTGGTTTTTCCTTTGGATTTATATTGTATCATTTGGTAGACCTTTGGATTTATATTGGGTCTTTGTTAAGTGTAGTCTTCATTGAATAATTTTTTGCTTCATGTAAAATTTTGTAGTGCATGGAGGTCTAAGGTGCTTGGCTCTACTTTCTGGGGAATTGGATTGTGAAATGATTCCAAGACTTATACCTTCTCTGTTCCCACACTTGCTTTCAATTGTTTCATCTACAGAGGTATGAATGCGTTTTCTGAAAAATGAAATTTATTTTTGTAATTACCTTTTACTGCTGAGACAGAACGTTCAACCATCTCTTTAATTGTTTTTTTTATCTGATTGATGGTTAATGCATTATCATATGCTTTATTCTTTGTGCTGAAGAAAGAAACCATTGAAGTTGTGTTTGGATTGATAGAAAATTGACAAATTCTTAGTGGCAGAAG